ACAATCCAAGTCTTACCGCTTGTGGCCTGAACTTTGTCTCACTGCTCAGTTTCGCCTTTCTAACTTCCTCTTCTTCTTCTTCTTCTTCTTTGTTTTTTTTCAATTTCTTATTTTTATAATTACGTTACATTCATTTCATTACAGGAACTTTTACACACGTACTGTAAAGAACTTACTTACATTACACACTACTTAACTCTACACCTACATTGTATATTGCACTACCACACACTACTACACTACTTATACCTTGCATACTACTTGACTCTACTTTACATCCACATTGTATACTACACTACTACACACTAAAACACTACTTATACTTAACACCCGAAAAGGATATCAATCAATAAATAAGATTTACAAGGCTTACAATACTACATAAGTTTTCTCAGAATACGCAATAACAATAGGTTTAGAGAATCAATAGCAGTGTGCAAGAATTTAAGCCAAAGAACAACAGACATCCAGAATGTTAGTCCAATTTGGCAGACCTCGGAATTTTTCTCATCCAATTATTTCCAAATTGGACAGCATGTAGTCTTATCACATATACAAATTGCACAAGACTTCGAAACATTCTTTATAGAAATTTGGAAGACAGCTAGGCAAGCCAGCAACACTGAAATTGCATTGCAAGAGAAACTTATCATTGTAACCTTTCAGAAAAAAGGGGAGTATTTGCTTTCAAAAGCTAACATAATCTTCAGTATGTTTCGTAAGACACATAATACGTTGCGTATCGATCATTGTCTGAATGTGAGGCATTCTCAACCCGACGTTTTTTTCCTTTTTTTTTCTTTTTTTCTTTCTTTCTTTCTTTCTTTCTTTCTTTCTTTCTTTCTTTCTTTCTTTCTTTCTTTCTAGTTTTTCCTGTTAAGAGAAATCAAGAGAAGATCAAGGTACTTGCCTTGATCTTCACTTCGAATAATTAAATACCTTGGCGCACTATTCCTCACTCAGGCTGTTGTTACCATTTTGCAAGAGAACATTGTTTTCAAAGGTCGATTTCATACTATAATTTAATGTATTTTATGGAACCAATCTATTGCTTGTTGGACACTGGTCATTTCACCTAGCCAACAGTGATATCCAAGATCTGATCGAACATTTCGAACGCATTGTGGTTTTAGCATAGGTACATGAATGACTTGCAGCCCACAAGAAATGAACGCTATTTATTTTTCAAGCCAGATTGCATGGACTGCTCTTAAACAAGGTATCATAAAGAAACATTTTTACTCTCTCACGGTCGACGAAAATTTTTATTGAGAAATGTAAGTGCCCTGCGGAAGACATAATAGGGGCAAATGCCAGCAACAGATATGTCTTGACAGTTCAGTAATACTTGTCCACTACACAGTTGTCAATTTCATGTTCAACAGTTACAAAATT